CGAGTAGGAGACCGATCCTGAACAAAATATGTGCTTCCAAAAACACGAGGGGGGACCGAAAAAAAGTGTCCGCTCAGAAAATAAGACCTGTAAGGGAGCCTTGTGCTGAAGAACACAACTCGACATTGATTGCACAGAAAGGTAGAAGTCAAAACAGCAAAATATCAATAAGATTTTGGTACCCTCATGCCTCTAAGCATACAACGTACCATCCCTATCAAACTCCTATTTTTTCTTTCAGCAACACCATTTTGCTCAAGAGTATATGGACAAGTGAGTTGCTGAAGAATACCATGAGAAGAAAGGTGAGACACTAAGGCATCAGACACATATTCTTTGGCATTATCCGAATGAAGAGCACGAACAATGACTTCAAATTGTGTCTTAATCATCTATAAAAACTGAGTGATTATAGGAAGTACATCAGACTTTCTATGCAAAAGGTAGACCCAAGTACAACGGGTATGATCATCTATAAATGTCACATAATATCGGGCACCTGACAAAACAGTAACGAGAGAGGGTCCCCAAATATCATAGTGTATTAGGTCAAATAGCTTAGGTGACTGGTGCATCCGAGGAATATAACTGGCCCTAACATGTTTCGATAGGTAACATATAACACAGTCAAGTTTATCACCAACATAAGCATTGCTCAAAACAAGAAACAACATATATAAAATATTTAACATTTGTATGTCCAAAACGGTCATGTCACAACTGAACAGTTTGTGACGAAAAATCATAACGACAACTACTAGGTAAAATACTAGCATGCAAGCTAGGAACAAAAAAAGACAAAACAGGTGCAGGTGATGTAGGTGGAGGAATTGGTGAAACTGGAGGTGAATTGTCAAGATAATACAGTCCATCTTTCTCATGTCCCTGATAATAATCCTCCTGGTACTCAGGTCCTGCAAATAACATGAATCATATAAGAATACAACTGCACAGTAAAAATCTCTGGCTAACTGATGTACAGATAATAGATTCATGGCTAATTTTGGTGCATGAAAAACCGAACGTAATGTAAGGCCATCTGGGAGGCGGACTGTACCCCTACTAATAATAGGGGCATGTGTCCTATCTGCTAACTGAACCTGTGTATGTAACTACTCGTCAAAAGTGATGAAGTGATGGGCCTCACCTGTCATGTGACCATTTGCACCCGAGTCCAACATCCAAAGGGGAGATGAATTGGCACAAGCGTGAAAGGCACGAGATATACCTGTAGTGGTGACAGCAGCAGTAGTCAAATTCTGAGAAGTCAGAGCAGGCATAAGTATATCTAATCGAGAAGTGATAACATCCATATCACTCTGCCAAGGTGGAGCAGCAACAACAGGAGTAACGGTAGTGAGTGGTGGTACCTCAGCAATAGCAACAGTACGACTGCGAGGAGGCAGCTTAAGCTCTAGATGGAGCTTCCAGCAAGTAGCCCTGAGATGTCCTGGTCAGCCACAATAATCACATTGACGGGAATCCCCCTGTCTACGCTGATCTGGGGCACCTTGACAGCGCTGATCCGAGCGCTGTCCACCCTTGACTGAGGATCCTAAACGACACCCTGCAGCAACTGCAAGGGCCATCTGGTTAGCCGAAGGAGTCAAAGCCGCAACTGGAAGTGATGCAATACGGACTCGACACTTATGCTGCTCAATCATCCTATATACCTCATAAAGAGAAGGAAGTGTCAACATCGACAAGATCTGAGAACGAGGTCCCTTAAACTCATCACGAAGTCCCATAAGGAACTTGTGAATCCTATCCGCCTACTCTCGAGTATGCAAGAATGCTGCGCCCTCGGGTTATATCTTTGGAATAGCAGCAAGAGGACATAGAGTCTTATACTCAAGCCAGCGTTGAGTCAAATAGCCATAATAATCCTGAACGGTCATATCTCCCTGCCGAGCATATGAGAGCTCCTGAGAAAGCTCATAAACACGAACTCTCCGTCCTGACTGAGAATACATCTCTGATAATGCGCTCCATAGCTTCAGAACAGAGTTATGAAACTAGTGGATCCTGCAAACATGTGGCTCCATCGAGCCAAATAACCATCCAAGAATGGCGCAGTTCTCAGAGAACCACACAGAATATCCAGGGTCGGCATCAGCTGGCTTTGGGTGAGATCCCGTCAGCCAACCAAGCTTCCCTACACGACCTAAGAAAAGTTGGAATGAGCGAGACCACTCAGCGAAGTTACGATTATTCAACAACTGTGTCGTAACTTTCTGAGAGATCATGTCCGGTAGTGCTGGTAATGCAACTGTGCTAGTAGGTACTGTATACTGGTCAAACATAAAAATGAAAGTACCCATGGATGTCTCAACGGTAGATGTGTCAACAATAGGGGTCTCAAGTTCCTTAGTAGTAGTAGTCATATCAACAATAATACTAGAACACTCGTGACAGAAAGAATAACTCTAAGATAAATAGAGGGATAAAATAGGGGAGAACAATATACCTCCAGTCGAACAGTAGCGACAGATAAAGAAGGTCCAAAAAGCTCTAAAATAATTAGGTCACGGTGCTCAGAAATCTAGTGAATATAAATAATCTACTGTATCAAGAGCAAATCAACAGACGGAGAAAAAGAGGATTCAACCCCTCATAAAAAATCCTAGATACATTGTGATGAAGAGTGCAAAGGATGAACAGTGGGCTGGGTTTATTGATTTAATATGTCGGTGGGGTGTATGTTGTTTCGGCTGGATTTATTGCTGTGAGTTGCTGGGTATGTTGTTTTCGAATGGCAGTGTATTGGGTATGGTGTGGGGTTTGATGAGAAAAGGTAAGGAGTTGATGTATGGCTGAGAAAGGTGCAATCGGCTCGGTTTGTGAGACAGTCGATGGGGCTGGTGTGTGGTGTTGCTGAAGCAGGCGGTGTATTGGGTACCTTCGATTTTGTCGGTTGGGTTTGTGAGACAGTCGGTGGGGCTGGTGTATGGTGTTGCTGAGACAGTCGGTGGGGTGGTATACTGTTCGGACTGTTCGGTTGGTTTGTGGCCTAATGTTTGATCGGTGGTTTATGTGGTTTGACGAAAAGGTTGGTTTATGTGATTTGACGGCGAAGGTTAAAGTTAGGGTTAAGGTTAGAGTATGGCTCTGAAACAAACTTGAAATAAAATGTGAATGAAAAAGGGATACAAACTAAGTGTAGAACTCCCGTATATATAGTCAATGAGAGTTACAATAAGAACAAAAAGGTAAAAAAGGAAAACTTAATAAAATCCTAATAAACTAGGCTGCTGCTATATCTCCAACAAGTTGAAAAGACGCGTGGTTGAAATGACGAGTCCCTTGTGGAGAACACGATATTATTATTGTTGCTATTGTTGTTTTTGTGGTTATAATTCTTAGCTCAGGCTGTCTCTCCCTCTCCCTCAAAAATTAATTGTTAAAAGTAACTATGTTATGGCAGGTTGGAAAGTTTATTCAACTCGTGTCAACATTTTTTGGCGGATTTGCAATCGCCTTCATAAGAGGGTGGCTTCTTGCACTAGTTCTGACTACGTGCATTCCTTTTCTTGTCATTGCCGGAGGATGCATGGCATTGCTCATGTCAAAAATGGCGAGCCGTGGACAAGTTGCATATGCAGACGCTGGAAATGTGGTTGAACAAACTGTTGGAGCCATTAGAACGGTACAGAGTTACATGCATTATGCAAATTTTTTGTTAATTCTTAAGTAAGACTACAAACAAGCCAAATCGAATTGAGCACTAGACTGTTCGGGCTTGGCTCGTTTGACTATGAAGAATGTTGGATGAGCTTCAAATATTTTATTCAAACTGAAAATGCAATGGCTCACCTCGGCTCGACTAAACAAACGATGATCGTGCTTGTGTTCGGACTAACTCAAGCCCAAACTCCTATACACATACTTCTATGCTTGATTATTTATAGAAATGAACAAACTTGAACGAGTTCCACTATGCCATTTAAGAGTTCCTCGATCTTCTTTATGGTTATCATAGGTTGCATCCTTCACTGGGGAGAAGCTAGCAGTGAATAAATATGACAGCAAGCTAAAAATTGCCTATGCCTCAAGTGTTCAACAAGGACTGACCTCAGGCATTGGACTTGGAATTGTGTTGCTAATCGTCTTTAGCAGTTATGGACTTGCTACATGGGCTGGATCCAAATTGATCATAAGCCATGGATATAATGGTGGGATGGTCATCAATGTTATTATGTCAATCATGACTGGTGGAATGTAAGTTCAATATATTACATTGATATTATAATTATAACGTCTCAGACTCGTTTAGTATAATATTGTCCATCTTTAGCTAGAAATTTTTTTGAATTTAGCTCATTAATCCGTCTTGATATTTCTTATACTAGATCATTGGGCCAGACATCGCCATGTTTGAATGCATTTGCAGCAGGGCGGGCTGCAGCGTACAAGATGTTTGAGACAATCCAACGTAAGCCTCTAATCGATGCATATGACTCGAGTGGGATTGTATTGGAAGAAATCAAGGGTGATGTCGACCTCAAAGACGTCTATTTTAGATATCCTGCGAGGCCAGAGGTGCAAATTTTTTCAGGATTTACGTTGCATGTTCCGAGTGGCACGACTGCAGCCTTAGTGGGGCAAAGTGGAAGTGGGAAATCGACAGTGATCAGTTTACTGGAGAGGTTTTACGATCCTGAAGCTGGTGAAGTCCTGATAGATGGTGTCGATTTGAGGAAGTTTCGACTCAAATGGATAAGAGAGAAAATGGGGCTAGTTAGTCAAGAACCAATCTTGTTTGCAACTACTATAAGAGAGAATATATCTTATGGGAAGGAAAATGCTACTGATGAGGAGATTAGAACAGCTATCGAGCTTGCCAATGCTGCAAAATTCATCGATAAGCTGCCCGAGGTGAGTTCATTACCTTTTTTCCTTCTACCCTTGAACACTGTTTATTTGTGGTTCTTGACTGATTAATTGGGATGTATGCTATATTTTCAGGGTCTTGATACAATGGTAGGTGAGCATGGAACTCAGCTATCCGGAGGACAAAAGCAAAGAATTGCCATAGCCAGGGCCATCTTGAAGGCCCCGAAAATCCTTCTTCTTGACGAAGCAACAAGCGCTCTGGATGCTGAATCAGAACGCGTTGTACAAAATGCACTTGACAATGTTATGTCCAACCGAACAACTGTGGTTGTTGCTCATCGTCTGACCACGATCAGAAACGCTGATCTTATTGCAGTTGTTCATTTGGGGAAACTCGTTGAGCAGGGTAATTAGACAATAACCAAGCTTTTCTTCCCAATAAAATTCTTCAATATTTACACTAAGTTTTGTTCAATTTGAAATTTAGGAACTCATTCTGAGTTGATCAAAGATCCCGAGGGGGCTTATTCCCAGCTAGTTCGTATGCAGGAAGGTGCAAAACAAGCTGAAGAACCTAAAGGATTTGACACAGAAAAGGTGGATATGAGTCTAGATTTAAATGAAAACATAGGCAGGTCTTTAAGCCAGAGATTATCCGGGAGGCAATCCTCAAGCAGAGGATCATCTGGTCGTCGACATTCCTTCACACCAATCATTAATGTTCCGGGCCTCATCAGTATGCATCAAATTGAATGTGGAGAGGAAACAATAGAAGGAGATTGTGTAGATAGTGAAAAGGGTAAGAAAGTTTCGATGAAACGATTGGCCAGCCTTAACAAACCAGAGCTGCCAGTTCTGGTGCTCGGATCCATAGCTGCAGCTGTACATGGTGTGATCTTCCCTGTATTTGGACTACTAATCTCATCAGCAATCAAAATTTTCTACGAACCGCCTGGTGAGCTAAAGAAAGACTCCAGGTTTTGGGCAATCATGTATCTCTTACTTGGACTTGTTACTCTGGTGGCTGTACCAGTACAGAACTATTTCTTTGGAGTAGCAGGTGGGAAATTGATACACCGAATTAGATTCTTGTCGTTTCAAAAGGTCGTGCACCAGGAAATTAGCTGGTTTGACGATCCAGCAAATTCAAGGTACGTAAACACATAAGTATTTATATACTTTAACATTGTCAGTAATGCTCGATTACCCGTATTTCTAATTGATACTTTGCTAAAAACTGTTTTGTGTGCCAACACACAAATATTTATATACATCAACATCGTCAGTAATGCTCAATTACTCAGTGTCTCTTATTAATGCTTTTGCTTAAAACTGTTTGTGCAACACAGTGGTGCAATTGGTGCTAGGCTATCGACAGATGCTTCGACTGTGAAGAGTTTGGTGGGTGATGCCTTGGCGCTGATTATCCAGAACCTATCAACGGTGACAGCCGGCCTCGTGATAGCGTTTACGGCTAACTGGATTTTGGCGATTATAATTCTGGTTGTGCTGCCCTTGGTAGGTTTGCAAGGGTTCCTCCAGATGAAGTTCTTCAAAGGGTTTAGTGCAGATGCTAAGGTCAGTCCAATGCCCAGTTATGCATCATATTAGTGATGGTTATTCTTGACACGAGCAGCCGCCAAGTCGGCAAGAAACTGACACAAAATTAGCGAGTGTGAGTTTAGTCTTGATGAGTTTGAGTCATAAATGGATTAATTTGCTGGACCTTTTACCTAAATGGGTCAATTCAAACTAGCTAAACCCGACTTAAACCCAACGAAACACGACTTCTACACAACACAAACTCGACACAATAAAATCCGATTATACGCGACTATAACTTAATTGAGTGTGGATTAAACAAATTTTGACATGCTGATTTATAATCATGACACAAAGTGGAATTCAAGAGTATGTGTTTAGGCATAATGGGTTCGGAAGTGGGTGGATCCAGCGGACCCACTTAATAAAGGGGTTAACACAAACCCAGCTACACATGACACAAATCCAACTACACAAACTTATATACGACACGAACCGAAAACGACATTCAACTATAGCGACTATAAGTGTGTTGAGTAAATTTTAACATGACACAACTTACGCTGATCAGAAATGAGAAACTGACACAACAATTGATAACCTGACTCACACCAAAATTAAGACAAGTACAATGAACTAAGATGATGAAAATTCTTTGCAGGTGATGTATGAAGAGGCAAGCCAAATTGCAAATGATGCTGTTGGAAGCATCAGAACAGTGGCATCATTCTGTGCTGAAGAAAAAGTGATGGATATGTACCAAAAGAAGTGTGAGGCACCCATGAAACAGGGAATGAGGCTTGGAATTGTCAGCGGTGCTGGCTTCGGATTCGGTTCTTTTGCCCTCTTTTGCACTAATTCTTTCTGTTTCTTCATTGGATCTGTTCTTGAGCAACATGGGAAAGCAACATTTGGAGAAGTTTTTAAGGTAAAATAATGGTTCTTTTTCTCCCCATTTCATTCATTCAAGCGGATCACATTTCATTCATTCAAGTAGGATCTGTCAAGAAAAAAATTGGAAAGGAAATGTATTAGAGGAAGATTTGAATTGGTTTCACATTTCCAAATCCAAACTTTGGTTATGTTTTGGACAAAAGTCCATGTTTCTACTGTCTGCAATTGACAAAATGAGAAATCAATAACCACAGTCGGAGATGCCATGTGGAAAACATGATAGTTGAGGGGGTAATGTGCGGCCAATAATCCTCGTAAAAGGTATAATATCAGAAACATGATAGTTGAGGGACAATGTGCGACTAAAGGCATATTTGAAGGGCTCAAAACATTCTTTTCTCTTATTCTCAGGCTTATTTTCCTGTATCAATATGGTTGCAGGTTTTCTTTGCTCTGACAATGTCAGCAATTGGGGTATCTCAAACAACAGCAATGGCTCCAGATTTGCATAAAGCAAAGGATTGTGCTGCCTCTATTTTTGAGATTCTAGACAGAAAGCCCAAGATTGATTCAAGCAGCAATGAGGGCACAACATTGACTTCTGTAAAGGGTGACATAGACTTCCACCATGTTAGCTTCAAGTATCCAACAAGACCCAATGTTCCGATTTTCAAAGATTTGTGCTTAACCATTCCCTCTGGCAAGGTATATGTAACACCGATCACTCTATCGACTATTGTTGCTTCTTTTTGATGTATATTCTGGCTTACTATGTGTGTGTTGACCATATGTTCATCAAGGATCATAATCTTATTTCGGAGCCTAATTCTGGTCGGTTGAGAAATATAAACGTTTCAGAAATAGAATAAATATAGAGAAACCAATTTAAAATTTAGATTCTGAAACCCATGGAAACATTAGAATTTCAACTCTAAAACAACCTGAAACATCCCAAACACCTGAAACTTGAAAATTTTGATTTATCCCTCTCACCATTAACAATTGGTTGGCTTGAATGATTATTGCAGACTGTTGCTCTTGTTGGAGAAAGTGGTAGTGGAAAATCAACAGTAGTTAGTCTAATAGAGAGGTTCTACGATCCTGACTCTGGCCGTATACACTTAGATGGAGTAGAAATCCAAAAGTTCCAGCTAAGCTGGCTAAGGCAACAAATGGGGCTTGTAAGTCAAGAGCCAGTACTCTTCAACGAAACAATCCGAACCAACATTGCTTATAGCAAGCAAGGAGAAGCAACCGAGGAAGAGATCATTGCAGCTGCGAAGGCTTCAAATGCACACAACTTCATATCAGCACTCCCTCAGGGCTATGACACCTCTGTAGGCGAACGAGGCGTACAGTTATCTGGTGGACAGAAGCAACGAATAGCCATTGCAAGGGCGATAATGAAGGATCCAAAAATCCTTCTGCTTGATGAGGCTACGAGTGCTCTCGATGCAGAATCAGAGCGGATAGTACAGGAAGCGTTAGATCGAGTGATGGTGAACAGGACGACAGTGGTTGTTGCTCACCGGCTAGCCACGATTAAAGGGGCTGATGTTATTGCTGTTGTGAAGAATGGGGTGATTGCTGAGAAGGGAAGACATGATGTGCTTATGAACATCACTGAAGGGCTGTATGCATCCCTGGTTGCACTTCATATGAGTTCAACCTAATACATCATTTTTGAAAGCTACATATTATGTATTCAAATCTATTTATTTTCATTTCTGCTATGAGATATCCTTCCTTTTATTCCTCTAATGTAAAATCTCGTATGATATTAATAATTTAAGGTTATGGTATTTGGAGGGCATTGGAACGCATGAATCGCGATGTTACGAATTGGCATTTTGTGTGATACACACGAAATGTTAGCTAAAAGAAAAAGTTGGGCATGGCGAGAGACTTGGTCTATATCGCGGCGTCAAGCATGGCTAGAACAAGTTATTGTTCATGTATCTTGCATAACTTCTTTTTATATCACAAAACAAAAGGTCCTAATTACAGAATTAAGGTTCATAGGTTTCAAACCATTGAATTGATGTCTGAACTGTTAGTGGCTTTTTTCATTTTCGATTTTCATAGCATCTAGGTATGAATTACCACCAAGCTTGTGACCAAATAAGCCTTTGTAAGTGATGTGCCACTCCCACTCTTTTGAACTTTGCTGGATTTTGTGGGGGTAATCAGACTAGGCATAGGACCAAAATCTCCCTCAAGTTTCGTGCTGTAAAACGTGGCGATCAAGAGCCTTTCCGTCCTAGGAGAATCTTGTACTCATTTTTCTTAAAATAGACCATATTGCTACATTTTTGTATGATTGAGAATACAATATGAGAATTTTAATTTTTTAATTTATAAATTAAAATTTTAATAATTAATAATAGCAATATGAGGTGGTCTCGTGCATGCTTGTAAAACGGTGATATAAGATTGTACATGTATTGTGTCACTTTGTATAAAATTTATAATATTCTATACAGATGTAAATCTATTGTTAAGACGATAATACCAGATGTCACTCGTGATGGAATAGCTCGGTTACTAGGTTCCCAAATACCTTAAAAATAGAGGTGATCATGGGAAATGAGAAATATTTGATAAGATCCGGTTTGTCATTTGATATTTTAGTACTCTCACCCAAACTTGGGTTTGGTACCATGTCATAATCAGCTGTGTTGACATTAGGTTATTTTTAGCCGAGTAATACTATAGGGACCTTATTTATGGATCTAATGATGTTGTTTCAATACAATCATTGAATTAGTTGTGAGTTCTAATGTTAAATAGAGCCCACAACCAATTTAATGGTTGTATTAAATTAAGTCATCAAATTAGATCCAAATAACATTTTCCTTTTCAGCCCGACAAGTATAAAGGTGTTACATCCACGAAATTAGATCAAATATGTTTGAGGATGTACCAGAAACAAAATGATAAGGGGTGTCCATGGGCAGGGCTACTCTAGGCCCGAGAAATGTTTTTTGACTCAGACTTGGATAATGTAAGCTCAAGTCCTTACTCAAGTGAGTTATCGGAGGGTCGGACTGGCTTCGGGTAAGAGTAGGCTACCCGCAATCCAACCAGTGAGTCTATTGGGCGGGCTTGCTTGCGAATTATTTTTTATATAATTTTATTTAAAAATAATAAATATTTTTGTAACTTAACATTTGTGTAAATTATATTTTTGAATCGAAAGTAGAGTCAAAATGGATAAAAATAATATAATGAATACTTTTATTTTTTATTAGGGGATGAACTACATCCCAACTAGGTTGATACCTACTCACTTATCTATTATTTACATTACTCTACCCTTTAAAACTTGTATGCTCAATATACAGAAAGAAAATAATACATTATTTATAGTATCTGAATTTTTAAAACTTCAAATTTTGATATTGAAAAATTTATTTCAAAGTTTCAAAATTAATAGTATAAAAATGTAGCTTTTTTTTAAAAGAAGGGTAGGCGGGTTCTTGGGCCGGGTTTTAATGGATTTTTTTGGGTGGGCTATTGGGAGGGGTAATAGGTTTGGGGCCAAACCAAGCTCTCTTTGTAAAGATATTGGACTTGGACAATTATTGGGCCTATCAAGTTTTGGGTATATTTTTTTCAAGTTGGGTAACGAGACCAGTGGGTAACCTAACCAATTGACACCCCTACGTGAGCTAAAGGGTTTTGTTAATGTTTATTTTATTTTGGTGATTTATTACGATTTGTAGAGGCTATTTGGTAAAAGGATATGAGGGGCTTGGTAAAATGGTTTGAGGAAAATAGTTCAAAAGATACCAAAATTTCATGTTTGGATTGAAAATTTAATTTCGAATTTTCAAACTCGGCCCGTAGTTAGCCCGAATATTAAACTCATGATCATGAGTTTTGTCAAACATATGAGAGAGGTGAGTTTAGAAAGATGATTTAAGGGTTAATGATGCAAAAGATAATTGTACAATTTAACATGAGTATGAATTGTATTGATCAAAGGTAAAATAGTTATTTACATGACAAATAATTGTTAATAATTATGATATATCTGTGAATTTTACATGTGTATGTGTTGCATACCAAATATAGTTATGAACTGGATTTAATGTTAAATCTCATCTTTATAAAGAGGAGTTTGAATTTAAAAAAGTCAATCTAAATTCTCCTAAAAAATCCCTCAAAACAAATCCCTAATGTTAAGGAAAAGGACTAGGGAGGGTGGATTTGAAGAGATCGTAGGTTCATAGTTAATGGGTTATTATATGATGGGTGATGTTGTTGAGTTGGATTCAATCAAATGCGATGGGCCATAGCTTGAGTCCATTTTTTATTGGTTTAATGAGAATAGGTTGGAGTGAAATATGACGACGATCATTCTATGGATGCCCTTAAGGACTTGAGCATGTGGGTTGTTTGATATGAGTTGAAAAATACAACCTAACAAGAGATGGCCACAATTTCATTCATCAAGCTCATAGAGGACTACAAGATAATAGATGAGTCACTATTTTGATGTTCATGTGTTGTGGTTGTAATGTTATTTTATGTTGTGCACAATTTTTTTGGAGTCACTAGTGATTCCAAAGGTTAGGTTTGCGGTACTCGTTTTTGTGGTTTAAATTAGCATAATAAAATTAAGCTTCTGGCATGGTATCGGCTAGACTTCACAAGTTTATGGGCAAATATGAATTTGCTATTTCATGTTTTATAATTTTAAATTTGGAGATATCAATATTCGATTTAATTATAACTTGATCTTAGCTATATCCATGGGAATATATGATGAATTTGAGTTAAATTCCATAAATAATTTGCTAAATTTTTTCATATTTGAATGGGATCGAATTTCGATGTCTAATGAAATAGGGTATGAACCGTAGAGATTAAACCAGCTTTAGTTCGACTGAAAGTTGTAGCATATCTGAAACTAGACAGTTGAATTTTGTTTAATTTGAATCTCAAAAATTGTTTTATGTTTTCGGAAATAGTTTCTAAAAAAAAAAACTATTTAACCAGTTGTTTTCGATTTTTATTTTTTGAAAACTGAAATAAAAACTGAGTAAATTTAAAGAACAAATTAGAATTGTTTTATGCGTTTTTGAAAACAAACTTTCTAGAATTTAGAAATATCACCACCACCATCACCACCACATTCCCACCAGCAACACCACCACCACCACCACCTACCACCACACTACAAAAACCAACACTACACTTCCATCACCACCAACACTACTAGCACACTTTCACTACCACCACCACATCCACCAAACCACATGACCCCCACTTTCACTACCACCACTATCATCACCACCATACTCCCATCATCAACACTAACACCACCACTAAACTCCCACCACCACCATGTCCACCACACCACCACTAAACTCCCACTACCACTATGTCCACCACACCACCACCACTACATTTCTATTTTCATTGTTTTTTATGTGACTATCCAAACATGTTTTAATGTTTTTCATTCCGTAAAATTGTTTTTAGACTCATACAACTAAATAAGTTCTATGACATAAAAAACACAAATTTTATTTTCTAAAACTTTTCCCAAAAATAATTTTCGAACGCAAACCAAACAGGGTCTGATTTCTTGTATTACCCCAAGAAATTATTAATAACTTATATTTTTTACAATTTTCCTAAATTTTAAGGACAAATAAAGTCTTAATCTTTTAATAGTTTCTTCTGAAAAAAAAAATTCTTTGTCATCAGTTATGTTCTTTCTCTTTCCCTCTACGATACATCTTGGTGCCGTATTGAGGTTGATAACATAATAGATATGTTGAATTTGATTCATTTCAGACAAATATAATTAGGTGAAGATAAGATGTTTGTACATGTTTTCTCATCTGTCACGTTTGGTGATTGGGATTCTGTCTTATGTTATAGTCCTTTGTTAGGCTGTCGGCATCACCTTGTGAAGTCCAATCAATATGAGAGTTTGTATTACAAGATAACACTATAATTTTCTAAAATTTAAATTGGACCAAATTTCGATATCTAATGAAATATGATATGAAACAATAAAAATTAAAACAGATATGGTTCAAAAGAAAGTTTTAAATTAGATTCGAGTTTTGATCGGTCATAATCTGATCGATTGACGGGCCTTGTCAAAATTTAAAAACTCTTATTACAATAAAATGATCAAAATTAATTTTAATACGGTACTGAAATAGTTCATCTCAGTACTCTAGTAAAGTCCATAAAATAATTGATATTGCTTGATTTGATTCATTTCAGACAAGTATTAGGTGAAAATAAGATGTTTCGTGTACTTCAAAAAGAAATTTTAGTAGTCCTTTGTTAGGATCTCGACATAACCTTGTTTCGATTTGGGTATAGATTTGGGTTTTGAGTTAACAAAGTCTTATCTTGTTTGATTTCATTATGTTACGATACAACAACACATAAGATGCATGTAAAGTGGGCCTGTTATCTTACTACACATAACAAAAAACAAAATTGGTGTATTATTGCTGAATATTTTTTGTTGACTTTGAGAAGTTGAATACTAGTGCTCGTCATGAATTTAAAAGCGACATGATCTATTACATGTTAGGTTAACGTTGGACATGAACAAAAACAAAATACGATAAATTCTCTTAACTAAATTTTATAAGTAGGCATTTTTTTCTTACTTTATTTTGCTAGCGTGAGTGATTTTATTTAGGATTTAGGTTATGGGACATGAGTGTGCTCGATTTTGTTAAGAAAACACATCGAATATGCTAAATAATTAATAGGCTTAGCAAAAATCAAGTAACTCGATACATTTTAGTTTGGACTAAATTATGGTTGGTTAATAATACAAAATTAAATTAATATGATTTGAATGTAACACGATTTGTCCATAGACCATTTCAAGCAAACAACTTGGACAAGACTTAGAAAATTTTTCACAGGTTAGGTATAGAAGAATATGGTAGGTATAACCTATTCTGTGCGGCAAGAATTTTTTTTTTTTCTCAACTAAAAATAAGAAATATTTACGATTGTAGACCGACCAGAGTTACTCGAGCTTAATATGATATTAACACATCTGCAATAGTTTTCTAATTATGCTAGATTTACATAAACCCTAGATTCTTATTTGGGTACGTAAGATTTTCCGAAATGGCCCAACCCTCCTCTTCATTGGGTAAGACTCCCCAAAATCAGCAACTAAAACGCGAATGGTTTTATGTGATATTGAGCTTCAGTCAGAACGTAATATGAGACATCAGCAATATAAATTCTAGGGAAAATTGCATTTTGATCCCCTCAACTATGCTACTGTCTTTTTCTCCAACTATTGAGTTTTCCATATTGAATTGCTTTTACACTGCCCTAAAGCCAAAGAACCAGCATAGTTTGGAAAAGAAAAGTTCAAATGTGCAATAAATACACGTTTTCAATGTCCACATTTGGGATAATGTGAAATTAATAATGTGAGCTGGTACAACATGATAAAAGTGCTAGTTGAGGGAGAAATCTGAGATAGAATGTAGAGTTGAGGTTGGTTAGAGTGTAATTTTCCCCCTATATTATCCTAGTTCAATTTTTTTTTTAAATGGGTGGGGGTAAGGGAGAGGGCCCAAATACAACCTTGATATGCCCGCACTGGTGGGATTGTGAGATCACTGACCTCGTCTGTTACTCCTCTCGGGAACGAATCTAACTAGATTAGCATAAATGTCAACCACTGAAGCATAATGTGGACACTAAAACTTGAATTTTCAATCTCAAGGTGAGAAGTTCGGCCGATACCCTACTGGACCCCCCGCTCGGTGGCCATATACTATCCGAGTGCCGGTCTTTGTTACTGCCCAATTATCAAAATGCATACATAATAGGCTAGCATTCACAAGATAGGACTTGTGAATTGATTAGCCCATAAGAAACTAAGCTCAACATGGTGTTACAACATTTGTTTTTGTGGTTGTAAAACATTTATTGCACAAGATGTAGCAAACTGTATAGCTAACATTTGTAGTTGACTGGAAAAACATCATTCGTATAACTAATCTCCAACAGTCGAGATAAGATTTTATTGAGTTGTTGGATAGTTTCAAACTATCTATGACGTACGGTAATCCTAATTTGCATAGTTGAATGACAATCAAATGTTTTGGGCGTCTTTATTCTCAATTCTCATGACATCCAGATATGATTTTCTATCGAGCTCACGGGAAAATAATCCCTTGAAGTAGTCCACAATACCAATCCTTTTGAAGAATGCTGGAGTTTGATCATTGATAAGGCTTGGTGCTGGCCCCATTTCTCCATCTAACTTTGGGTTATAAAATGTGGCGATGGAAAGCCTCTCCTTCTGTGAATTAATTGTTGCTCGATGTTCAATACTGCGGTAAATTCCATTCGTCACTATCTGCCGAACAATATGTCAATAAACAATTGTATATTGTCAGTTAGCAATTGAACTCTAAAAATTATTTTGTTCAGTTCCTTTCGTCAATTTCAAGCATTTAAATAAAAATTTTTACTCTACATGAGAATTTGTGATAATATTAGGCATAGAATACTTGATAATCTCTCATTGAAGTTTCTATCTTTGAAGAACTTAAGAGTTTGATACGTGAGAATAAGCAATATCCGGTTGTTGAGGTTTCTCTAATCGTCTTTAACAACTGTAGATGATTCTCACTTGGGCGAAAATCATCCGTTTGATGACTGAAATGGACGGAGGGACTAGCTGAATTTATCCTAAAAGTTTAAGGTCTAAATAGGAAAAATTTAAACTTGGGCCATAATGTAATTAGGGCCATTTTATAATATTTAGCCTACCTAGTAAATCATGGTTTGTGTTCTTCTAGATTATTAACTTGTTTTCCTAGAGTATCTCCCATGTGAGTGTACCTCGGAAAGTCTTCGGGCATATCTTAGACTATATTGTCCATTCAATAATAATATGAGCAAAAATATACGAAAAGGTTAGGAAGTTTGTTTTACATATTACCTCCAAGATGTCTCCAATGTTGACTACAAAAGCATTAGGGAGTGGAACAATAGGAATCCAAATTCCATCCTTTTTTATCTGGAGGCCTTCTATTTCATTGACTTGTAGGAGGATGGTGAGACCAACGGCGTCGGAGTGCGGGGTGAGGCCCATCACCAGCTCCGGTTGAGGACATGGAGGATAGTAATTCATCCTCATTGCCTGCATCCCTTCTTCAAATAACAACCTCATATCAGCAGCCTCCATTTGTAAAGCTTTAGCCATAAGGATAAGGATCTTCAAGGCAAGGGTTTTCAATTCTTCTGAGTATGCTTCTATGACCTCCCTGCATCGAAAGATAATTGTTTGGGATATTGAAAATTCTAAACTCTAAATCCCTTGGCTATGTCCATGATCTCACTTTTCTCCCTCAACTATTAAGTTTATCACAATGTCCACTCAACTACTTGAATTGGACAAGCTCAAGTTTAAAATACACCAAGCCTTTTACTTGACTCAATTTCAGTCACTCAACCAACAATTCACAAGAAATCAATTAATAGTTAAAAGACATGTTAACTGAATTTCCTAATTTATACCCTCGGAAGATGTATTTACGAATCAAACTACCGAGTCTGGAAGAGAATACTCTCATAACCTAAAATTCTACATAATTATCTTTCTCACAATTTGAGAGCCTAATACGAGTAATGTTATTAAGGTTTAAAAAATTGATTTAATTTGTTGACCTAATAATGTGATAATGATATGATCTAATAGCGTTGTTACGACGGTAACTCTTTAGACTTTTTCATTACAACTTTATCACTTGACACATTATTATATGAACAAGTTAGATTAATTTATAAGTTTCAATAGCATTACTCGCCTAAGATACATATTATGTGTGTGTGTGTGTGTGAGAGAGAGACAGAGACAGAGGAGGTTGGGGCCTTTTTTTGGGGGGGTGGGGGGAGCAGGGTTCTAACCTGAACGCGGCAGGGAGGTTGGGGAATAAGTGGGGTTTCCTTAAGTAGGTTGGAAGGGTGTACATGTAGAACATATCTCCCCAATCAAGCTTTTGGTCTTCTGATACAACAAAGGCCTGTCCAAATCCGTCTAAGTCTCCTTGTTTTTGAGCAAACTGCTTCTTCTCCTCTGCTGGAAGATTGAACAACTTCTGAATCTCAAACTTCACTTTGTCCACCAATGAAGAGCTAACTCCATGATTTATCAGCTGCATTACATATGTTTCTATCTTAGTTTGATCCAAATGTGACCTTTGTTTAAAAAAAAACTAAATAGAAAACAACTATAATAATAATACGTATTCAATACGTCTCCAGTTGAATACAGTAACTAGTAACCGGGCTCTCTAATATGAGGGTAAGACCATCTATCACTTACCTTTCTCAATCACTGTTCGTGGAAGGTTTGTGCAGTAAATAGGACCTTTATGGTTTTTGATTCTTGTGTTGATTTGTTTAGCTAACATTGAATCAAATGACATCAACGTAAAGCAAACTTGGATACGTATGCAATAGTTTTATAAGCTCAATTCTTTAATGGGTAGTTTTTTGTATTTTATTCTTGGGTTATGTTGTAATATTGAAAAGTTATGTCGTTAGATGATATTGAAGCATGTTTAGGGTCTTTTGTGTATTTAAAAGGGTGGGTTTACAAAAGGTTATGATTGTAGGCTTCAGAAAAATTGAAGGGGCAGCCATTAGAAGTGTCCAGAATCATGAGGAAGTTTGTTCGTGCACGGCAACATGGAAGCCGATTTCTGTTGTGAGAAGGAACCGACGAAGGCTGCTCACTGAAGTCGGTTTAAAGCATGAAAAACAGAGTATAGAAGGCAAAGAGCTGGCGTCCGAAAGAGAGGATTCTGTCCAGAAAAATAGAGAAGAAAAGGGAGGTGTTGGTAGAAAAATCAGAGGGAAAAACAGGAAGTTGCTGTCCAGAAACGCAGCAAGTGTCTCCTGAGAAGAAGCTCCGTTTGTGAGTTTTTTTGATAGCTTACTTTGTGTTTTTCTTGATGGAAGTTTCCTCATTTGTATTGCTTGATATTGTAATCATTTTCTTATGAAATATAGTGGTGTTTCTTGAATGGAATTAGTGTGGTAGTGTAGCAGATTTTTTTGTTAGTTTTTTTTTATGGAGTCTAGTTTGTATATGTGATCCGAATGATAACCCGACCGAAGTAATGTTGTGTGATTTTTTAATGAAATTTTTTTTGAGGTTTAGTTCATGGAGCGAACGGCCCAAGTCGTAGCGCTCATGAATAAGTCTCGTGGGGGTTGAGGAAAATTTTTTGGGCCCGTTATACAGCCCAGTGTGTAGGACATATAAACCCTGTTGTTTTGGTGATTAGGGTCAATCGTGGATTGTACAGCCGCTCTCTGTATTCAACTCTCTCAATAGTGAAATTTCTGCAGTTTCGTGGACGTAGGCAAATTGCTGAACCACGTAAAATTTGTGTCTTATTCTTTCTTGTTTCTTATTGCTTTATATTCTTGATTTGTTCTTCGATTGTGTGTGTTTGTTAGTGGATTTAAATCGTGTTAAATCCCAACATTTTTTGTCCCTGTTTTACTTGATTTTGTGATGAAATTATTGTGATACACGTAGTAGATATTCAGCCATTTGATTTCGTGTATTGGGTCTTGATTTTGTATTTCTTTGGTGACCTAATTTGCTTCCAATACCCAACAATTTGAATATATTGTGTTAGAGTATGTATGACTCATATTTGCTGTGTGCATAATGGCAAGGAGGCAGATGCTGGAGCGGAGCCCGCGACGGCATCTGCCTTGCGGGATTTATATAAAGGGGATGCTGATTAGTTGGGGGTGCGGAGACAACGCCCCCGCGGTACGGTACAAGGGTATTTTTGTAAATACATCCATATTAGGGTTATATAAATACTTAAGATGTAACCCTATCGCTCTCGTGGATGTAGGGTCTCGATCTGTGTATTCACTTGTTTCAATTGTTTGTTACTATTCACCATAATTGCTGTAATATATTGGGAGGGTATTGTTTATGATGCATATGAATGAGATAAACAAAATGTTGGATTACGCAGGGAATAGGTGGATATGAGTACCTGAAAGAAACCCCATTCCTTGCATGCATTGTGCAGCTTTTCAAGCTCTAATTCCATTGAATCTCCAGAAAGTAAGCTGTGCATGTCGACGATGGGGACTTGAGGTAAAGAGGAGGTATTAGATATGATCGGATGGTCTTGATCGGGACGTACATATCGTGGCGGAACCGTGGCCAGCTGTTCCTTAGACAACTCTTGAACAGAAGCCACCTGAAGAGAGCCCCCAAGCCTTGTGGAGTTTGGTTCCATGGCAGCTAAATATTCCAAGGGGATTCTCTCTCTCTGTCTATCTCTGTCTGTATGTGTGTATGTGTTTATATAATCAATTGTTTCTAGCCACAGCAGTTGAATGGTCCTTTCTGGGGAATAGGCTGCTTATTCCATTCATGTTATGTAATACCCAAGTAAAAAAACAAAATGAAATAAAAATAATAATAATAAAAGTAAAAATGTATAAGTTGAATTTGAGAAATTTTAAATTTTTGTTTGACCTGTGGTCTGTCCTGAAGGGCCTATGAATTTTTCGGTGTTGAGAGAAATATTAGATAATTATAGATACTTAGTCGAATAGAGTTTTAGAATTACAGAATTGATTATACACTAATTTCTTATAGCTAAAGAAACTTTAGTGTTATTAACAATAGTTGACTGTTATACCTTATGGACTCGTTTGATAGACATATTATGAGAGGAATAAATATTAGATTGTATTATTTTTTATTTAATCAGGCCTAATATTTTGTTTGATAAATAAATTTGATACCGTATTAATTTTAAAAACGTATACTAATCGTATATTTATCATATATTTTTTATACGTTAGACCTGTATTATGGAGGTATTTTAATACTACCAAAAGAGGTGGTATTATAATCCAACTCAAACGTATTATTTTGCACATTTACCATTATAACCTTCTAACGGATAAAATCAAACTGTCATCAATATAATAAATACTGATTGAGGGTATTTTTGTAAATTCAACATTAATACGATAAAATAATTCCTTAACCAAATAATCAATTAGATTAAATAATTACTATCCAACGTTTATGTTGTGTATTATCAAATACTAGATAAAATTACGTATTATTCTAATACTATATTTAGTCTTGTCTTTTGTCATTCTATATTTTAATATGACAACTAAACAAACTCTATATGTAATTGAACGAGGTAGCTCATATATATTCATTGTATTGTTACACAAAAACTGTGAGCTGAGGAGAATCCAACGTGCACAGGCGGCGGGGAGAGAGAGAGAATAAGGGAGCGGCTGATTTTCAAGGTGAGTTTTTCTACTAAAATTATATTAAGAAATTCAATACACACATGTGTACCAATACTTGCTATTACTTTTCTTTTAAATAAAAAGAAATGAAGTAATAAGAAGCTGGTCGATTTTGAATGTAACGGGTGATTTAGATTAGTTGAGATATTACTTATGAAAGGTTTAACTTGGTGATTGAGCAAGTGGCAGGGTGTATCAATTGGAAGATTATATTATATGTATCCAATTACATGTCAATATGGTGGGGTATGTGTGGGTCAAGAAGATTCTTTGGAAAAAAAAAGAAAAGAAAAGGGTTTGGACTTGTTTTCTTTCAAGTTGAAGAACAAGGAAGAGTTGGTAGGTTGAGGAAGACAAAGTTTTGAAATTATATAATTCACCCCTTTGAGTTCAAGAAACTTTAATTTGACTCC